TTTTCGATTATTATTTAGTAGTGAAGCTGCTTAAAGTGGTATCTTAGCAGCTGGTTAGCATGTTTAAAATACACGCATTACATTTCAAAAAGGCCTCAACTGGAAAAAAGAAAGATTCAGCATTATTCAGCACGATTTTCTTGGAAACTATTTATTGCTCATCTATGCAATCAAATTTCAACTTTTAAGTTCTGTAATGATCCTCATATGAAATCCACAAATTAGCAGTGCTGTGCAGCAGTGCACATATACAAGATCGAAATGGGGCTAACGTGATCAAAATCGTGGCGTCAGCGGTTTATAATCCGTGCTTGATGGCCTCACAACTGCGTTTCGAGTGCTGAGCTCCAGTAGCCCATATCATTAGAAAATCGAAAACGAAAGTGCAAGATCGGTCGATCGTGCACAGTTCGAAAAGTGATGTAAATTTCTTATGATGATTAGTTATAGATCGTGTACGACGTCGACAAACCAACATTGAAAATGAAGCCAATTTCCCAATTGATTAGTTCAGGTTAGAAGAAGGAAGTATTTTTGACGTAGGACTACGTCTGTGATTTCTATATGGGGATACACTTTGTGAAAACCGAAAATGGAACATGTAACAAAATCATGAAAGATATTGAACGTTAATAACCCAGCTGCCCCTGGACCAATTTCAATAATTTTATCACCAATGGATCAGAAATATTTCTACGCATCTGTTAAATTAAACACTTTATCGTTTTTCAAAATGTCACTATTGAAAATTGCATGAATGTGCAATTGTTGCTATAATAATTAAAATTATCACCGTTTGCCTGCGAAAAGCGATTTCCCTAACACATCCGGTCTCACTCAACGGTGTTTATTCAATCACCGCGTGGTGAGTGGTGGTGTTCCCCAGTACACAACGAAAGGCCCCCGCAAGCAGCTAGCTATCATGGCTGCCCTCAACCGCTGATCGGATTCAGTCCAATCACCGTGTGTGGTGGTGTCCGGTCGTCGGCATCTGCAGCGGCAGCACCGACAAACCGACATGAGTGACCATAGCAAAAACAATAAAATTTCTGACCAAAGCACATCTACTGACATCAGGCCCCATGTTCGCGGAAAATATTTAGCTAAGCCATGAACTCGCATGCAAAAGTTATGAATTGGTTCGTGTCTGATCTATTCTAGACAAATTATTTTTATCTAGATCAAAAAATCCTATGGTTTTGACAGTTCGGATCACTGCAGATTTAAATCGGCCGTTTACGATTTTCGGGCATAAGTCAGAATTAAGTGTCATGTCGGTTTGTCGGTGGCGGCAGTGCTTTCGGCGCGTGGCGTAGAACATTGTTCTTCAGCACACAACGAAAGGCTGCCTGCAAGTCTCCCTCATTCCAAACAACATACAGCTCACCAGCCTCATATGTGTTAAGCACCCTAATAGCTCAGCATTACTCAACCATCACGGCAAAACGGTGCTTTTCAGGACCACCATAAATTTGTAAAAGAGTATTTTTTTGGACATTTGTCAAGGTAATCAATCGGATGTCAGTTCCCATATCAAGATAGAGCTGGAATTAGGGCGTAACTGCTTTTGTAAACAATGACTTCTGACAATGACTTCAATGATGTCTTGAAAGTCAAAGCTCGCCCACGCAAAATCAACATCACCATCAGGTAGGGTAAGATTTCCCCTACCCGACGGTAATGTTGGTTTGCGTGGGCGCGCCTTGAATTCCTAAAAATCATCCAGAGAAGTCATTGTTTACAAAGGCTGTTACGCCTAATTCCAGCTCTATCTAGATATGTTTAAATCTACCATATCATATCCCTTAAGGCAACATTGGGGGTGCAATTTCAACAACCAAAGTCGGTCGCGGCATGAAAGTGGTCTTTTTTTGATCCAGATGATGTATTTTAATTTTTAATACGCCAATCGATAAGAATTTTGTCAACGATCCTGTTAAAATTAAGACTTTATCATTTTTCAAAATTTCACTATTGAAAATGGCACGAATGTGAAACTGTTGCTATGCAAATTAAAATTATCACCGATTGCCTGCGAAAAGCGATTTCCCTAGCACAGATTTCAAAGTTGAACTCCATCCGGTCTCACCAAACGGTGTTTATTCAATCACCGCATGGTGAGTGTTGGTGTTCTCCAGTCACAACGAAAGGCTACCTGCAAGCAGTAAGCTGCAGCTCACATGAGCATCCATAGAAGGAGGAAGAAGCCACACCGCTATTGATCGGAATCAGTAGCTTTTCGTAAGTCGTTGTGGGCCATCGATTTCAAGCGCGTCATACTAAAGAGTATAAACAGAGAGAACCCCGATCAAATTCCTATCCCTACACAAAACACACGCTCCTGCTGCAGTTAACAAATAAGATTTATTGTATAAGACCACGTAGTCCTACGTCACCCATAGGGCTGTCTCTTGTAGTTTTTTTATTCTCAATATTCGGAATATTTATAAGTATTTCCAATCTTTAAAGTATCCAAATGTACAACCCTTGATTAATTAAAGCATGCAACCTCCAACCATGTTTGAATGCTAGCATCTTGAAAGTCTAAAATTTTTGAAAACTTTGTGTATTAAATAATTTATTAAAAAATTTCCCTCTAATTGAAAGCTTATTCTCTGTCCCTTGATACACGGGAATGTGCAATGTTTCAAATTTGAGATCTCGAAACCCCATGGCCCGGAATTTCGGAAAACAATTCATGTACCGCAAACCGGAGTGACGTCGATCAGGACACTAATAAAGTTTCCTTCCTCGACAAATGTTATGAAAGACACCTTGTCCAGTTAACCGGGACACCGGGAAACAGCCAGGAATTTGAAGTCACTGGGAAAATTCCAAGAATTTCGATGACAATATGGGAATAAACTATACTTCAGCCCCTTTTCGGAAAAAAATAAGATTCTGGATCTTTCTTGATAAGCAAAAACGATCACCGGTAGGCCAATGAGTCCCTTACATCACATCAAATCATTGCAAGCGACGATCTGTCAAGCCCCAAAAACCAGTTTCGTCCCGTAACCTCACTTTTTACCTATGCACCAACTTTCAAAACCAGATTTAATGCCATATTCATACTCTAATCGGTTGAAAAATACACTTAATCTTCTAGTTTACTTGATATCTATCCATTGCAAGCCATATTTTGATAATTGTTTATGTTTTGAGAGTTGATACACAGGTAGATTGAGGTTAAGGAAACACCACTGCCAAAAACATAAAACTGTTCAAATGAAATGACGTCTTCATAACGGGGCTGTTGTGTCGAAGTCGGAGTCAAGGAATCGGAGTCGAAATTTAAATTGATCTCGCTTAGCTTTGGTTCTTTCAGCGTGCTTTTCGCGAAAGCCATGGTTTCAAAAGGGGGCATCAACGATCGGAGGGGGGAGAGGGATGATAGCAAGGGTGCCTATTCATCTACTTCCTTGGAAAAGACATAAGACTTCAAACGTCCGCTGTAGACGAATCGGGTCGACCATTGAAAACGAGATTAGCAAACAGAATAAGTAATCTAGAAATACATTTCAAATCCGAAAACTCCACTTTCAGCCGATCATCAATCACACCAATTCTTGGTACGTTCTCAGAAAATAAAAAATCACCTAGTCGAATTACATCGTAACTCGAGCATTTAATTGAACCAACATTGTGTTGTTATTCAATCAACATGCCTCGAAAATAGCTACACAGCAAAACCCGGGTGGTGGCTCCCTCTCCTAGGAAGTGAAACTCAATTCACAACCCAAACAACAACGCAAACGAGTGACCATGGCTATAGAAATTGTGTTTTCCCTTCTCGGCTTTGTTGTATGTGCCTTGGTATCATCTACCCGCTAGCAAAACTGCATTGCAATCAACAAACGGCCACCACTACTCCAATGCACCGCGGTCCGCAGATGGACGGAAAGACTCCGGCTTGAATGGAGAAGGCAGCGATTCACTCCGGTGATTTTTCGAATTTGATAGCTTCCACAACCGAACCGACCGACTACTACTACTACTACTACTACTACTACTACGACCACCACCAACCAAGGGCTATCTCAATACACATGCCAAATCAGGTTTTCTCTTATTTTTTGCCTCCATGTGCCCGGGCCTTGGCGGGGACGCTTGCTGCAAAGGGCTTCCTCGAAAGTGTCACGTCACACTCTCTGATCCGGAATTGGCGTCGTCGTCGGCCTGCAGAGTGGTGTCGTGTGTCGTCTTTAGGAAAAAAATCACGATTGGATGAGCCCTACGAACGGCGACGACGACGGCGGCGGCGGTGGCGTCATGGTTCGATGGTGATGATGAACGGGGGCCCTTGAAAGTTGCACCACGATCGGGACCGGGAAGACCGAACGATCGAGAGGGCAAGTTCAAGGTTGAGGAGAAACGGTGCAAATAGAAGGAATTTGGAGAATTTCTCTACCGTTTCAGCTGGGTTCAATAATACATATGTGCCTGACGTTTTTCCGACCTGAAATGCAATTGGCTACAGCCCAGTAAACGAACGCCCAGTTAGCGAACATTGCTATTGGCTATCAAAAGCAACAGCAAACGCACCGAGAAACGTAAATTAGTGAGTTATTAACAAAAGAGAAAATCGACGAAGAGAATTGATCATCGCTGAACATTGCATAAGGTCCTAAGAAACATTAACAGATTCTCTTCGTCGACTTTCTCTTTGCATCGCAACGACCAGGTGACATTCACAGGTATTTTCAGCACACAGATCGATAAAAGAAGCTTTTAACTAGCATCTAATAGGACAAACACAACAAGAAACGGTGATGTGCTCAAGTTATTAACGAAAGAGAAAGTCGACGAAGAGAATCGATCAATGTTACTTAGGACCTAATGCAATGTTCAGCTTGATTTTCCTTCACGCGAGAAAGTTCCTAACCTATGCTTGCATTTCGTTCTTTCACCAGCTGTCGCAATATCCTAAAACAAAAGATTTTGCCCCACAAGAAAACACTCCCTCTCGATAATGATGATACGAAATAAAAGTGACTAACCTCTAAAATCGTCGCCGAATCCGTAATCCAGAGTTGTGACTGATTAGAACTGACGATTCCAGCGAAGAGAAAATCCAATCCCAATACCGGGCACCAACTTCTCACGCCGCCTCCCTCTCACTTTTCACTTGTTTATACTCGACTCGCTCGCCCTTTTATCTCCTCTCACTGGGACGAGAACGATGGGCGGCACACTCCTTTTGATCCAATCTTTTCAATCACTTTTTCGACACAGAAACAAATCACTCGGCTTATTTCGGATTGAAGTAAAACAAAACCAATGCCACTGATAGGCGTTTTAAAAATCACTTGTTTTGACGAGAGAAAAAATCACTGCACTGAAATTGAACAATTCGATTAGGGATAACCTCAAACAGGGAAAGGGTTATATGGCCTGTGGCCTTGCCGAACAACGTATTGTCATCGTGGAGCTGTGTGCACTTTTTGATGTTACCATTTAGACTAACCCTAAGACCAGGGGGTCCCGAAGAATCTTGCATAAATGTATGGCTCAGGAAGGACCAGATCTTCGGTCCCAAGCTAATTGAAGCACCCCTCCAAACGTAGGAAAATCCACTATCTTTCAAATTTATAAGCCGAATCAAAACACGATTCTTGTACGATCAAGGGGGGCAAGTAAGGAGCCAATTTAAAATCGTTAGTTCCGAATTGATTGTGGATGTTACTCAGCAGTTTTTGAATTGATACACTCGACATCCGGTAGCAGGGGGAAAGGTTCGCTTTTCCGATAGAGAGCTTCATTCGCTGTTTGGATTGCATTTGTCGGAAGTGTTTCACCAAGTAAACTTTAAGTGTGTGATTTATGAAGCATTGCATTCTAAGAAGGTTACCAGAAAATCGCTTTCCTGATGATGTCAGGGTTCCTGAAAGTCCGTACTAAAAATGAGCCCCATCAATATGAATGAAGTGGTGGGGCCTCAGTCGGCAAAGGTGCTTGGTGGCTGGGTTCGATTCCCGGTCCGATCTAGGATTTTTTTCCGGTTGGAAAATTTCTCGACTTCCCTGGGCATAGAGTATGATTGTACTTGCCACACAATTATACTAATGCAAAAATAGTACAGGCATCGAAAGATATCAATTAATAACTGTGGAAGTGCATCTAGAACACTAAATTGAGAGCACGACATACGCTAAAATGCGATAAGCGACAAGCTTGAGATTCGAAGCGGAGGTCTGACAAAGTACACACTGAATTCAGATCACCGAAGTCAGTATAATATTATCGAGTTTTAGAACAGCTGAAAAAGTCGGTAAAATTTCAAATGATCATTACACGTAAGAAATCACTTAAATCGATTATCATTGTTCGGGGTATCATCCAAACAATTTGTGGGATAGTTTACCCATCCGGGATACAGTTCGTTTATGGTATTTGTTTATTAGGGAGATCCCTAAGAAACGGGCTCAACTTTTTGGCTCAGCTCTGGTACTCTCTTCGGTCCCAAGCTAATCGATGCACCCCTCGAAACATAGGAAAATCCACGATCCCCTAATTTTATCTGTCAAACTTTCATAGCGAATCATAACAAACATAGTGTAGTACTAGAAATTCGACTAGAATGGGGTACGTTAATCGATGTACTTGGGACCGATATTCTAGTCAAGTAGTGAGCCAATTTAAAATCGTTAGTTTCCACCGGTTGTGAATAGTGTGTTGCAAACAAACATTTAAACAATTCAAGCTGAACAGTGCATTAGGTCCTAAGTAACAATGACAGATTCTCTTGGTCGACTTTCTCCTTGCATCCTCACGGTCATGCGAAGACATTCCCAGCCATTTTCAGCCCACAAATCGATGAAAGAAGCTATTATCTAGCTTCTAATAGGACAAACACGACAAGAAACTGTTCTGTACCCAAGCTATTAACGTAAAGCTGGGTTTAGACAGGGCAAGTCAGTTGATCAAGTTAGTTGAATTCAACTGACTTGAATGCGAATTGAACGTGTAAACCATGCCATTCAACTGATTTGATCAACTCACTTGAATTGAAAAAAAGTTGAACCAGACTCAACTCTTCAAGCCAATTGAATTCAACTGAGTTGATCAATTGACTTGCCCTGTCTAAACCCAGCTTAAGAGAAAATCGATGAAGATAATCGATCAATGTTACTTAGGCCTTGTGCATTGTTCAGCTTGAATTATCCTTTTCCATCTAATAATGTTGTAGAGATATTTTGTTATGACAATCGTCACAAACGTTTTGTCCAGGGGCCTGACTGGCGGACGTGTTTTTGATGCTATCATCTGCTCTTGTCTTTCTGCTTATAATACGATCTTCCGTCCCTTTCCACCAGGCGGGCTGTATTTAAATAAGGCCCGTGATGTTGCCTACTGTCAAACGCATAGGATTGATATGGGATTGCCAGCCTCCTGGTTTTGTCCAAAGATCCTGAATTTATAAAGAGACGACTTGTCAAAATTGGAACAATCCATTAACTGTCAAAGTCATAGGAAAAGTTATTGAGCTTTCTGACGTTTATAATACGCACACTTGCGTAATCACATTTTCAAGTGCGAAGTTTGTTATCCTCACTTTCGCTCCAGCCAAACATGTTGGCTTGTTATTGTTATCCTCACTTTCGGACCATCAATCCAGTATTTTACGATCGCTTATGGCCGCCACATTCTGGCTGAGTTTCTGGTAGGGAACATAAGATTTAAAGATTGGCTTCTGTCGTTTGACGTGTAAACGTTCAAATTTGAACGTTTACACGTCAAACGACACAACCCAAACGTCAAATCATATGTTCCCTACCAAAAACTCAGTCAGATTGTGGCGGCCGTAAGCGCTCGTAAAATGCTGGATACTCGCGCACATAGATAGGACTATTCCAATCGAGCAGAAGACCTGTCAAATGGATGAGATGTCGTCTCTTTAGTTTGGTCTATAATGCTCTCAGTGTTTTGATACCCTGAATGGCTCTAAATTACGTGTTCAAGGTTGTAGAAAGTGAGGTTACGTCGATGTCCAAATTTGACTTGAACAAAACCTATCAGGCAACAGGATGTGATCACATAAGAATGGAAAACTAGTGTAATCTTAATAAGATTAAGATTAAACCAGTAGACATTGTTTAATAAAAATATATAATTCTGAAGATTTCCTGCAAAAAGATGATGAGCGATGCAAGTAGATGCGATAAATGAAAGAAGATTTTTCGAAGATTGATTCGCTAGTGTGAGATTTTTTGAGCATCTAAACTTGAGATTTAGATGTGCCGCCCCCTTCGTATTTTCATGGAAATTTGGTTTGCCTGTTCAGCCAAGTTGAATTTCGGCTCCACCCTTTGAAAGTAAGACTTGGATTTTATAGAATGGACCTTGACGAATCCAACGTGATGGTAGAATTGTTTTAGCCCACACAATTGAATTCACAAAGGTACGTGTTATTATATTGAAATTTGGTTTGCCTTTTCTGCCAAGCTGGATTTCGGCTCCGTCCTTTGAAAGTAAAGCTTGGATTTTAGAGAATGGACCGTGATTTTAAACCCGTTTTTATATAAAATTGTACGTGTAGCAAACATTCTGAGTACATATTTAAATTTAGCGATACTATTAAAAAAAAATAATTATTTTTAAATTAATTTAAATAAATTTATAAATAAATAAATTATTTAAGTAACCTAAATAAATTATTTAAGAAACACCTATTAAATTCTATGCATTTGGTCAAAGGCAGCAAAACAAAGAGTATCAATTTTACATACTAGTGTTATTGGTGGTCATATTGAGCGTTCAAAACCTCATTGGCCGCTCTCAAACTTATTTGCGGAAGTTCTGAGCAAGTTGTCAGAATCTTAATTGAGTCAAAACGCATTACTCGACATTTAAAAATAGCTAAGAATTCACATTGGTGATTACTGTTAATATAAAGCATCACATTGGATCCACCTAGATACACTTTAACCATGAATATAAGTATGCTTAAAACAACTTTCTTTTCGAGGTTAGCAAGGAAATAATATATAAGACAAAAATGTCGAGCATTTATTGTAACTGAAATGGTCTACAAATAAATGAAAGATTTGAGCCGGTTATTCCATGTTAGTTGTCAAAACCCAACACATGATACATCAAATCACATGAAATCGCAAGAACATGATGATTGATCATACTTGGTAGATTTTTCAAAGACTTCCCGTTAGTCTTAACTGATAACTAACGATATTGATAATGGAATGCTTACAAGTAAAAGAAATTAGTAAAAAATTCAGATCACTCCATAAGTGACTAAATTTTCCAAGTCTTTCTCTTACAATACTTTCTGCCAACATTGATCTCGATGATTCCTCGAAAGTCGTGGCTCTTCCTGGCAAATTGACATCACCATAGAGTAGGGGAAGACTTTCCCTACTCGATGGATATGTTGGTTTGGGTAGGCGTGCCATGAATTCGTAGAAACCAACGAGAGAAGTCATTGTTTACGCCCTAATTCCAGCCCTATCTAGAATTATCTCTTTGCTATGATGGTTAAAATCGTGCTAAATGCTTATGATTAACCATTAATCTAATATTATGATTAATTTTTAACGCCCTGATTTCTACGTGAACTTAGAAGATCTTCTCACATTTTCACGGGATCTGTTCAAAATGTCCTCAATGTACTAGGACCACAAAACTTTTCTGGAGGTCTTGAAAATTCCTTCAATATCTCTTCGAAATTCTTTTAACTATTTAGCAGATTTGATGTAATATCTCATGCAAATGTGTTCATGAATGCGAAGAGCATGGTACTCACCCCGGCAGTTATGTATTATGGAATAATGTTGAACTTCAACTCATGATCCACTTTGTTTCAAAAAATGTTCAAGACATTTTCGGCAGAATTCCGGAATTAACATTGGTTACAATAAAAAGAAAGGAAGCCCTTGCCATTGATGCCAGATATGCTTAATTATCTGTGATGGTACAGTTTTAGGTGTGATAAATGCAGATTGAATTTTCAAATGGCCGCATCTGCATTTGTAAACAAAGATTCAAACGTCTATTTATCGAAAATCTTAGCTCACCCACACAAACTAACACCACCATAATGTTGGGGAAAGTTCGCCCCACCTTTTGGTGGTGTTGTTTGGGTTGACGAGCTAATAGCAAAAATCAATTCGAAACTAACTATTTTAAATTGGCTCACTACTTGACTAGCCTATTGGTCCCAAGCAAATCGATTAACGTATCCCATTCTAGTATAAATTCCAGTACTACACTATGTTTGTTTTGATTCGCTATGAAAGTTTGACAGATAAAATGAGGAGTTCGTGGATTTTCCAATTGCAGCACGTTCTCCCAAGACGTTCCCCTAATTCGAGACAAGTAAACTGTCGGTTCATAATTTAGGACGTCTAATGCATACACGCTATTTCAAAACTATCCAAATTTGGTTAGAATCCACCCAGATCGGTAAAAACTGAACCTACCCAAAAGTGTCCATTTGTCAACTTGTCACTCCCAACATAGTTTACCCATTTTTGGGTAGGTTCAGTTTTGACCGATCTGGGTGGATTCTATCCGAATTTTGGTAGCTTTGAAATAGCGTGTAAGGTAAAAAGCTATGCAAGCCTTATTTCGGATGGATTTGATTCATTTCAAACCTTCAAGAGCGCAAACATCAGCTCCCATACAACGAACAACAATTGAACTGGAACTCTACGTTCGATACAGTGCAGCAAGCATGTTCGATGTCCTAACAGTGTCCGATATTTCAGTGCCAACATTTCAAAGGGGCGTAATTGTTTTTGTATTACTTTAGCCGTCAATTTCTGCGAATGAATTCTTACCTCTCCAAAATAGCAATGCTATCTGGTAGAGGAAACATTCCTCGACCTGTTGGTGTCATTATTTTTCATGAGTGAGCTTTTATTTGCGAGAAATCGACGGCTAAAGCCATTGTTTACAAATGCAATTACGCCCCTTTGAAATGTTGGCACTGATTTGTGCTCTAGGCCAATTGACGCACTTTGATAAATTCCACGATAAAATTTTCCCGCATCATCCCTGCCAAGCGTGCCGTTAGAGGGTGGAATTCTCCAATTATTGTTGTTAATTTTGACAACCATGATCTTTTGACGGAAAATAATTGATTTCAAATAGGCAGAGAAGCAAATCTTCCCTAGCACAGACATTGGACTAAGGTGTTCTTCTAGGCATTTTAGGCTTCTGTAGCGATCGTTTTGCCGTCCCTGAACTTGGTGTTCTAGATGCATTTCTACAGTTATTAATCGAGAGCTTTCTATGCCAATCAAACCAGCTATTTTTTCTTGAATCATAAAATTACTCGATATTGATTTTAAATGCATAATTAACTGAACAGTCTTCCGACGACCAGAATGTAACAGAATCGTTCTTCCCCTGCTTGAATGTACCATTACACAACGTTCTCGACATGGTTGATGTGCATCAGCTTCTTGGATCCAATTCACTAGCATTTTTCCAAGTGTTTATCTATTTAAATAACCCAGTGCTGATGATGCTCCGATAAGTTCGCGAATAACATCACTTGAACGGGTTCACCAACTCAATTTTGTACGCCGGGCCAAACCAGCGCAACGCCATCGAGCAACCGAAGACCAAGAAGCACACACAGGACCAGTTTTTAGGAGAAACAGGAAAAAAAAGAAAAGGAACTTCAATCAACGCGCACTGAAATTATTGAACACACAAAACGCACGCAAGCAAACGAACGACGGAACAAACTGGACGGAACGGAACGACGGACGGATGATGGCAAGTCCAAAATTCCAAGATCATTACCGCGCTCTCTCTCTCTCTCTCTCTTTGATTTGTCTCTCCCTCTCTTGCACAAGTCCCGGTATAAACGAAAACTCCTTTCCACTCACACACTCGCGACAAAAAAAAATTCAAAGTTGTTTTCCAAGAGAGAACGCGCCGAGATTCGGTGATCCTCGTTTCTTCTTCTTCTTCTTCTTCAACCCCGCGCGATGTTGATCACGACGGTCTACGATCACCACCAGCACACTTTGATCCAAGTAAAATAATTTTTACGCGATTGTTGTGCTCACCAGCAACCACAGCACTCCTTTCCCTCACGATCACGGTACATAGTTTGCTGATCAACGAGAGCCTCTCCCTCTCGATCACCCCGCTCTGTGTGGAAGTGTGAGTGCTGTGCTGTGCTGGTTGAAGCCACTCTTCAACTCTTTTTTCTGCTCCTTCTCCTACTCTTCTTCACCGTTCAATGATGATGATGCTGGCTTTTCAATCTTTGCAATAAAAAAAAAATTGGCTGAAACTCAAAATTTCTTCCTTTAATTTGAGCCCGAAAACCAGCGAAAATCGGAAACACTTCCACATCCGAAAAAGCATTTCTTCCGTTCGTTTGCACAACAATTCCACCCATCGTTTGAAACTCACATTGTCAGCAAAAACACGTTATGCACCGAGTTGTTAAAATTGAAATTTTTACACACCATTGGTAAAACTTGTCCCGCGACCTACTAAAAGTTTCTAGCGCGTGGCGGTTTCCATGACCGACACGTTTGAAGTTGAGCTCAAGACTGACGAACGAACGAACGCTCCTCGCTCACCGAGGGTAGGCTTCCTCCAGTCCTGTGGTGTGGTGGCACTCTAGTGTGGGCCTCTGTGGGTTGGCTGCTAATGACGATGACGACGATCGTCGAGAAAACCAACACACAAACGAACGAACGCAATCAGTGATGCTTTTTATTCAATGACTGACGGCAATGATTGTCACTCTCTTCTCTCACCGCCTTCTTCCACAATTCGATGGTGTGAGTGAACTTGAAACCGACTCTTGGACCTAGGCTGAATACAAAGGTGACACAGAGCTAAATGTTCCCTAAGTAAGAAATGTCAAAACAAAACAAAAAATACCGATGACCGGAAGGTGTATGCTGGTCATAAAATGCCAAATTAATCAAGCAAGTGATCGATCTGTGGGTGTAAAATTCACGAATAAACTCGAGGAGCATTGCTAATAGCAAAATTTGCCATGCAAAATGTTCATAGTTCATTTTCGTCAGCAAACTAACACCACTTTTTTTCTGTGTCACCTTTGTATTAAGTGCCTAGCTCTTGAACAACACTAGCTCAGTGTGAGAGAACGCGCATGCCATGCGTTTTGTTTATGTTTTATTGTGCCTCGTTGTGTTTGCTGCATCGCGCAGCTGTTCTGGCTGCGGCTCCGCTTCTAACGTTATTGCTAGTGGTGTCGCTTTTGTTTCATTATTCGATTTACGATTAATTAATTTTATATTTTTTGTATTTCTTTATTTGTACAGGCTCAATCAAATAAACTTTACAGAGCCAAGTTATCATTTGCGGTTTCACATAATTAATGTGTAGATAGAGCTGGAATTAGGGCGTAACAGCTTTTGTAAACAATGACTTCTCTCGATGATTTCTCGTAAGCCATGGCTCTCCCTGGCAAATCGACATCACCACTTCCTCTACCCGATGGTTGTGTTGGTTTGTGTAGGCGTGCCTTGAATTCCGAGAAATCAACGAAAGAAGTCATTGTTTACAAAGGCTGTTACGCCCTAATTCCAGCTCTATCTAGATTGTCTTAAATCTAGAGTTAAAGGAATTGAACCGATTATTCGCGGTCGTCTCGAGGTTAGTAGAGATTTGCAGTTTTATGGATGGGGAGAGGGAGAAGGAGGTCTGAGATATGATTTACGATACAAATATTTAATTATTCCTAAAACACGAACTTATTCCTATTCAATTTGGTATCAGCAGTATAATTGTATCACACCGAACTCGGTTTAATTTTCCACCGAACCTCTTCGGTTACCAACGAGAAACCGTATAAATGGTTCAAGCACATTTTTTTTTCAGGCGTATTTATCAAATCAGACCCGAGTTTCGGTAAAATAGTATAAATTTGACAGATAGACAGTCCCATTTTCTATGAGAGAAGCTATTGAAGAGGAGCTCGATACTTTGGTCGAAAATGGAGCCCTGGAAAAGGTGAACCACAGTGCTTGGGCGACACCAGTTGTTCCGATAATGAAGGTCAACAATAGAGTGAGACTTTGCGGCGATTCCAAGGTTACGGTTAATCCGAATCTGGAGATTGATGATCACCCGTTGCGGACGGTGGAAGAACTCTTCACCACTGTAGCTGGTGGAGAAATGTTTTCGAAAATCGATCTGACTCCAGCCTACCTGCAACTGGAGGTTGAGGAGGGTGATCGTGAGATATTAACGCTAAGTACCCATCAAGGCTTGTACCGGTCTACACGTCTAATGCATAGCATTGCGTCTGCGCCCGTCAGAGGTTCATGGAACAGGTGTTGAATGGTATTCCGGGCGTGACTTTTTTCTTGGATGATATCAAGAGCAAATTTTCATTACGTCGAATGTAACAAAGGTAAACAAAGTCGAGCTATCAGTGTCAATCGATGCTCCTGCTATTACACTATAAACTGTCCGAATATAGGATCACATCCCATTTTTAAATTTATTTACCAGTTGAATTGCTTTTTGACGTAATCACCTTCCGATCAAAATAGTTTTCGATGTTACTTAAGTCACCGATTTCTATGGAGATACCGTTTGCCTTAAGTAACAGCACTGAGAATCCCGTGAAAAGTGTACTTTCGTCGTTTCGCTTTCTCATTTTTAAAGTGAATAAATCGAACTGTTTGTTGCTAAGATGATTTCGGTGGTCCTAAAATGATGAATGGGCTGCACGTAAGGAGACGTAATTGATAATTCTCCCGAATAACCTGGTAAATACACTTTGACTTAAGTAACAATAGGGGCCACCAAACGACGTATAATAACTTTTGACTCAAAAACCAGTATTTTTTAGCATGAAAGCTAGCGATTTGCCTTTGTATGATTAAAAACCCGGCTAAATATGTTAAACATTGCTATCACTATGAGATTATATGTGTTTAATTGGAAATAGGAATAACTTTATTTTTCTCGGATCGGTGCGAATGTTACTTACGACATAATGAAAATTTGCTCTTGATATTCGTTTCACAGGACCGAACGACTACATCCATCTGTAGAGGCTGTGTCAGCGGAGTACAGGTCAACACAGCGGAACACCATCAAAGGATTTCGGATCGTTTGAGGAGAAAATTACTCGCGAGAACTAACGATTACAACGGGACCTTATTATCGAGATAAAGAACACGTCACACGCGGTAGCGAACTTTTAACTAATGAGGTTCACTCTTTACCGTCGCGCAGACGACAACAAAGTGTATGTGCACAGAAGGTATACGCAGTAGGGCTGGGCAAAAGCACAAGGTACTTACGAAGAGGTGATCATTGTACCTTTCCACACTCCCCCTCAATGTGAAATCTCTTCATTTGAACAGTCCTCGTAGAGTCCGAGCAGCTCACAGAACTCCCGGTTCTTCATGGTACTCAACGGCTTTGTGAAAATATCGGCTTGCATCTTGTCTGTAGGGCAGTACTCCAGTTGAACTTCCCCACAAACACACAATTCCTGTATGGAACGTTCCTTCGTATCGATGTGTTTTGATCTTCTGCTTACTCGTTCAGAACGCATGAATGCCAAACATCCCTGATTATCCTCCATGACGATCGTTGGTTGATTCTCAGACTCACCCAGGTCACGAAGGAGCTGCCTGAGCCATAGTGCCTCCTGACAAGTTTCACTTAGCGCCACATACTCAGCCTCCATCGACGATAGGCTAACGCATGATTGACGACGGCTGGCCCACATTATGCAACCACCTCCGTACTTGAACAGTATACCGGATGTCGATCGACGACTTTTGACATCACCGGCCCAGTCGGCATCCGAGAAGCCAGTCAGGCTCTGCTGTTGATCTCCACCAAGCTGTAACTGATAGCACCTCGTAGCCTTCAGATAGCGGAGCACACGTTTCGCCGCAGTCCAGTCGCAGTCACGAGGAGCACTGAATCTTCTTCCCAATATCGCAGCACTTACTGCAATGTCTGGCCGAGCAACGACAGCCAAATAAAGCAGCCCACCAACAAAACAACGGTAGTTAGTAGGATCTTCGAACGGTTCATCAGCTTCAATCATCGTCACATACCCGGGGTCCATCGGTGACTTGGCCGCTTTGCACTGTTCCATACTGAATAATTTGAGTAGTTTGTCAATGTAGTTTCGTAGACCTATCTTGAACGCGTTAACTTCACGCTTAACTTCCACTCCAAGAAAATGCCTCACTTCTCCCAGAGATGTCAGTTCGAATTCCGCTTTAAGCTTATCACAAACCTTTTCAATTTCCGACTCGTTGGTAGACGCAATCAGCAGTCAGCGTTCCCGATGTCCCTGACGTATAGGCACTGATCCGCTACAGCTGCCTTGAATCCATTCTTCACCAAAGCTTCATCCAGTCGTCGGTTCCAGCATCGTGCTGACTGACGCAGACCATAGATACTACGTTGTAGGCGGCACACCATGTGCTCCTTCCCAGGAACGACGAATCCTGGTGGCTGTCGCATAAACACCTCCTTCTCAAGTGAACCTTTGAGATAGGCCGTCTTTACGTCTAGGTGACGTACGTACATATTATTATTCGACACTACTGAAAGGAGAGTTCTGAACGTTGCTTGACACGTGACAGGCGCGAACACATCATCCACGTCGACTCCAGATCACTGGACAAAACCTTGCGCTACCAGTCTGGCTTTATGCCTCACAACTTGGTTTTCTTCATTCCGTTTTTCCTTGCATTCCCATCTCGAACCGATGGCCTTCCGCCCTTCCGGCAACGGGACCAGCTCCTAAGTGTTGTTCTGTCGATGAGACTTCAGCTCGTCCACCATAGCCTTGCGCCACACATGATCTTTCAAAGCTTATCTATGATCGATCGGTCGTTCAATAGCACACGCCGCAAAAACTATGGCATACTCCAGATTATAATCAACAATCAATACGAAACTAACGATTTTAAATTGGCTCACCACTTTAGTAGCCTATTGGTCCCAAGCAAACGATTAACGTACCCTATTCTAGTTGAAATTCTATTACTACACTATGTTTGTTTTGATTCGCTATGAAAGTTTGACAGATAACATCAGGGGTGTGTGGATTCATGCAGAACATGCAGGGGTGAGTGAAATAGCTTGGGACTGCTTGGGACCGTTGTTCTGGTACTGAGTGAGCCAAAAATAATAATGATTTTCTTCGGGACCCAGTGGTCTTAGAGTTACCTCTATGCTACAAGCAAGTCGATCGAGAAGCGTATGCGATAATCTTCAAAGTTCGCAAGTTCTACCAGTATCTCTACGGGCGGAAGTTCACGCTGATTACGGACAACGAACAAATATTTTCGAATACGAAAGGACTGCCAAAGATGTCGGCGCTAAGAATGCAACACTACGCGACGTTCCTGCAATCATTCAACTACAACATACAATTTCGCCCTACAAGTCAGCACGCTAACGCTGACGCTTTTTCAAGATTGCCGCTGAAAGAAAGAACTCTCGATACAGTTGTCGAGGAAACGGATTTTCTGGAAGTAAATATCATCGAGACGTTGCCGTTGACTGTGGAGGAACTTCGGCAAGCTACTA